GTAGTAGTAGTAATAATGGTAGTAGCTATGGTCAGGAGTCCAGCATGTCATGCGTCTTCCACGACATGAACGGCCCACGGAGTCACTGCGCGTTGCGTGCGAGCGACCGACTCCACCAAGTGGGGACGTCGGCCCCGAGCGGAAGGCCTTACGAGGCTAAGAGGGGATGGGGCAATGCAGCAGCGGAATGCAGCGAGCATGGGATGTTAGAGCAACGGCGCTGCAACTACTGGTCAACAGCCGAGCAAAGTCGCTTGTCAGGCCGTGGCGTTGTAGCCTCAGTGTCAACTTTGATGTCCCAACTCTCTAACCTTCTAAACCTACGAAGAAAGAACAAAGACGATGCATGACGGTAGAACCGCATCAGGAGCAACTGTCTAGCGCTTTCCCTGACAGCAGCTGTGGTGGCAAAACCGAAGACGAGCCACGGCTGCAGTCTCCATGTCGCACAAACACGCGGTGCCATGATCAGGAATTCATGTGCTGCTTTCTGCTGCTCTAAGAAGCCTGCATGCAAGGATCCAAAGCTCTAGCTAGGTCAATCTGCGCCGCTGTGCTAGCCTACAGTTAGTCGGCGAAGGAAGCATGTTAGGAAAGAAGACTAAGTACCTTTTGGGCCAGACACGACACAACAACCTCTACCAACCAATGCTGCTCGTCTTGCACGGGGCGCGTGATTCAAGACCCGGCGGGCTCCGCAGAGGCAGTTCGAAGGGAGGTTGACCCTTGGGCGACCCAGTAGGCAAGGCATGCTCAATGCCCATTCTGTCTTTTGATGCGCAAATATGTACATGTGACCGGACATTGCAATCATCACTGTGCGCAGGTTGCTGAGTCAGTTATTCACAGCCAAACCACATCGAGTGGGGCATGCAGAAAGCCGATGGTCTAAGACGTAAAACTCAGGTTGCTGATCTGCTTGACTGAGGACCGCTTGTCCACCTGGCGAGTCGATCAAAGTCGGGTGTTCGGCCGCGAGACAGACTTGCAGGCAAAGGACCCTCTTTCCGGTGTAGCCCTTCACATGCGCATCGTTGGAGTGATCGATGAAGGGGTTCACGCAATCGCGATCATCCTTCAGCGAGAAGTTCGCCTGAACAGTGCAAGATGTTCGAAACAAGCGGTGCACAAACGAGGGAACCACCGTGGGGGGACGGCCTGGCCCATCTTCATCTTGCGAGCATTCTTCTTTCGAATGCTCTCGCCATCCTGTACCTTGACAGCTTGAGCATTCTGTGCGAACATGCAAGATTCAGAAGTTCATGCTTCCAGAGCATTCAGAAAATCGTGAGTTCCAGGTGGATTTCAGACCGGCAACGAAGGCACCACATAGACATGAAGACAGCGAGACGCACTCGGGCATGCCTGTGTGCGGGTGTGAGTAATTTTTACGTCTGTGTGCAAAAGCAGCCAGGGAGAGAGGGAGGCTGAAGAGAAACGACGATAGGCAAGCAACCACAGGAAGTTGCTGTGCAGCCATGTGTCGTGTCCATGTATGTATGTATGCATGCATGCAGCGATGCATGCATTCATGTATGTATGTGTGTATGCGTGTCTGTATGTGGAAGTATGGGTGGAAGTATGTATGCATGCATGCATGCATGCATGCACGTATGTATGTATGTCTGTCTGTCCGTCCGTCCGTCCGTCCGTCCGTCTGTCTGTCTGTCTCTGCCTGTCTGTCTGTCTGTCTGTCTGTCTGTCTGTATGTATGTATGTCTGTAGCATATGGCATCTGTATACATGCAGGTATATACATGTATACCATGCGTGCATCTACATACATACATACATACATACATACATACATACATACAAACATACAAACATACATACATACATACATACATACATACATACGTACATACATACATACATGATCATGATATATATATATATATATACATTTATATACGTATATATATATATATCGATTATCGTCTATATACATATAGGTGTATATGCAAGTATGTATCAGATGCATGCATAGATATTTTGTGGTTGAGTGTGTATATGTATATATATATATATATTCTTGTTATCATTGTTATTATTTTTATTACTGTTGTTATGTGTATTTTTTGCAGTTTTACTATTATTATTATTATTGTTATTAGTAGTAGTAGTAGTAGTAGTAGCAGCAGCAACAGTAGTAGGAGTAGGAGTAGGAGTAGGTGGAG